TTATATACGGTTACATTTGATATGACAGGTACTAGTAGTAGCAGTAGCAGCACTAGGCGATATCGACAGCTACATGAAGCTAAATGTTGCTTTGAAAGGATTAGGAGACACTGCCTTATACATGGAAACATATAAGTGTATACAATTTTGTCGCTTTGAGTTTTCTATGGTATTTTCTACATTTTTTGTAAAGGACAGGTATGCTTCGATTAGAAGATACTGCCTTATACAATGAAACATAGAATAAATTATATGCTTGTATGTATAAGTCAGTATCTCCTAATGGAAGCACCTTTACAAAAACTGCGAAAAAATACCATAGAAAGCTCGAAGTGATAGAATTGTATACAATTATGCTTCTATGTATAAGTCATTATCTCCTTATCCTTTCAATGCTACAGTTAGCTTTATGTCTGTCGATCTCGCCTAATACTACCGCTGCTACTACTGTGTACTGTGTACATCATTATCTTATTTATAGTTATATATTGTAATAGATTGATATATTTCTTTGTCATTCTTGGGTACGGTTATCTCTCTCTCTTTCATCTGAAAACAAACGTACATATCTCTGTTACATACAGTATTGAAAATAAAAAACACCATTTCTTACTTACACAGATCCACTTGGCTTTGCCTTCTTCACTCTTGTTTCATTCATATCCCCACGCACATCAGATAATCGTCGTACATAGTCTTTCAAGGGCATATTCATTTCCTTGATAAAGGTAAATATTTGTTTTCTGAAACCAAACGGAAACACTTTGTCACGAATATGGTACATAATGACACTGTATAATTACACGAAAAAACGATGTATACTTACAATGTTGCAAACATCGTGTCGTGCACTCGTATGTGCACCTCTAATGTCACGAACTTGGGCATGGTCGTTTCCAAACGTTCGAGATCCTTATATATCTCTCGAACCATTCCCGATAGAGTTTCCACGTTTTCGGTGAACTCCGTCACAGTGGTGTTGAGAGCATCCGTCAGGACCATTAGGTCATGTAGTTGATCCATTATGTGTGAACAGACGACGCCTCGATACTTTTACAACTTGAAACCGCGCACTTTGAGATTCTGTATGACTTTGACAGGTCTCGTACGTTTTAACGATGTATTTATACCGTTCAAATCGGAAACTTTTCCGCGATATGCACCACTGTATCGCCACGGTCTCAT